CAGAAAATTTGATGTGAGAACCACCTAAGACAGATCATGTCTACATCTCCAAGGATGAAACATAGAATAACAGATGAAAAATGGAAAACAATTTCTAAAACTTTCTCTAACGAACTCTTCTGATGGAGCCTCCATCACCAGACTCCTAATGTCACAGTACTCAGTGAACTACGAGAAGAAGAGGAAATGGTGCCAAAAGAAAATGAAGATGAAAAGGGCAGCTGGACTAGACCACGCATCCAGAGAAAAGGTCGATGCTGGACGCAACATGACTTCCAGGACGTTGACGGATCAATTCTTTAGACAATTAAGAGAGTTAATGAATGTTCGGGGGGAAAAATCACAAGCTTATTTGTACTTTAAAAAATTCACTCAAAAAATATCTACTATCTTCTCTGTATAAAATCATCATGGGAGCCATCTTCACATAGAGAGGGATCCTTGATGAAGGTATAAAAGGGAACAGACAGGCTTTCACCAATCTATATTCTACAGCAGATCATATCTTTACCATCATAGAACTGACTAAAAGGTATACAGAACACAAGATCCTACTGTGCTTATTATTTATTGACAATCAAAAAGAAAAGGGAGCCATGTGGGGTGGTATGTACAGAGGACTGGCCTCAGGGTCAAGAAGATGACAAATCCTACTCTGAAAACATACTGGCTTCGTGATGGAAAATGCTATCCATATCCAAAGAAAGAACTATGGAATTTGAATGCAGATCGAAGCATAATACTTGCTATTTTTTTTTTCTCTTCTGTTGAGTTTTGTTTCCTCTTTCTGGTGGTTCTTCCTACTGGTTCTAATTTTTACTTACCACATCACTAATCTGAAAATATGGTTAATAAGAATGTACACATATAGCCTATATGAGATCGTGTGCCATCTTGGGGGGGATGGTGGGGAGGAAGGGGGAGAAAAATTTTAAACTCAAAAGAAAAAAAAAAGAAATGTAATCTACCATGAATGCTACATAGCAAATAAAAATTCAAGGGCAGCTTTTCTAACAATAAATTTCAATTTAGATTTTAAAAAAAACCATACTGGCCGCGTGACCTTGAGCAAGTCACTTAGTCAGAGTGTCCCAAGCAATTTTCTAAGACTACAGGTTGCAGAGCAGATACAAATCTACAGTACAATGAGTTCCTCCTCCCCCGCCCACCCCTTGACCACATCTTTTCCAAAGAGACCTGGGAAACATGCCAGATCGCATCCTGATTGGGAAATCCAAGAAAAAAAAAATCACAGTTAAGTCATTTTTCCAGCCCAGGTTAGCACAAGCAGAGGCAGGCGGAAGAAAGGCAGAGAAGTTTGAGGACACTGGGAATGGGGTCTAGCCAGAAAGGCCTCATAGAGCACGGCAGCCCAGGGGGAACGTGCGCACCAGTACAAGACGTCTGAGATCCAGCAGAGAGAAGCCGAAATAAGCTGGCAGCTTTGCTGTTGTCTTTCAAGCTCTGGGTCACAGAATCAGGACTGACTGAGGAGACTCATGCCTGAGGGTGGCATTTCAGGGTGAGGAGTGGTCATGGGTCCTAGGCTATGTACAATGAAGAGCAAGTTCAGGAGCAAGCAGTAGCAGCAGCTATGTGACTTTGACCCCAGGAGGGGTCCAAGGTCTCAGTTCCAGCCTCTGGCCCACTCTGAAGCCTGCAACGGAATAACTAGGGCAGTCACCCCAGACCAAAGTCCACTGGGCTAACGGTGACTGAGTCTAGCAGAAGTCTGCTGGAACTTCAACCAGAGGCAAACCAGAACCAAACCCAAATCAGGAAATTGTGAAGCTCAGACCAGGGGGACAGTGAGCAGACTTTGCCCCATCACTTTGGGAGCCTTGGAAACTTACAAGTTGCCAGGCTAAGCTGTCCCTGACAGTGTTCCTGGAATCACACAACATTCAATTCTCCAAGAAAGCAGAAGCAGTTGGCCTAGACCAGACATTCCCTCCAAAAATGTGCCGAGTCTGGCCCTGACATCAAGTCTGACATCAGGAGGCAGGCTGGAAGAATGAGCAAACAAAAAAAGAATCCCACGAAGAAAGCTATCATTCAAGCCATAAACCCAGAAGACAATGTCTCTGAACCATCTACAAACAAAGCCTCAAAGGAAAGTGTAGCTTAAGCAGAAATTCAACTAGAATTCCTGGAAAAGATGGAGTAACAGTTTCTAAAATGCTTTTATAAATCAAATGAGAGGGTCTAAAGGAAAAAGTTGGAAAAGAAATGAGAGCTATGTTAGGAAGAATTGGAAAGGTAATTAGGAGCTTGGCAAAAAAGGTACAAAACCTGGCCCAAGCAACAAACTCCCTGAAAATTACAATGGACCAAAGAGAAGCTAATTTCATGAAAACAGCAAGAAACATTAAAATGAAGTCAAAAGCCTGGAAAAAAAAAATAGAAGAAAGCATAAGGTATTTCCTAGTGAAAATAACTGACCTCAAAAATGGATGTAGGAAATATGATAATTTAAGAAATAGTGGGGGGCAGCTAGGTGGCGCAATGGATATAGCACCAGCCCTGGAGTCAGGAGGACCTGAGTTCAAATCCAGCCTCAGACACTTGACTGAGCTGCGTGAACCTAAGCAAGTCACTTAACTCCAATTGCCTCACCAAAAAAAAAAAAGAAAGAAAGAAAGAAAAAGAAATAGTAGACTACTTAAAAGCCATGACCAAAAAAAGAGCCTAGAAAAAAATGCAAGAAATCATAAAAGAAAACTGCCCAGATCTCTTAGAACCAGAGGGCAAAGTAGAAAGAGAAAGACTCCACCAGTCACCTCCTAAAAGAAACCCCAAAATGAAAACTTCCAGGAACATCACAGCCAAAATCCAGAGTTTCCATAGCACAGAAAAAAATACTGCAAGCAACCAGAAAGAAAGAATTCAAGTACTGAGGAGCTACAGTCAGTATCACACAGGATTTAGCAGCCACCACATAAAGAAACAGAGATCGTAGAACATAATACTCTAGAAAGCCATGGAACTGGACTTATAGTCAAGATTAACTTAACCAGAAAAACTGAATATAATCTGATAAGAGAAAAAAATGAACCTATGATAAAATACAGGACTTCCAAGCATTCTTGATGAAAAGACCACAGCTGTGTTGTTTAAATGCAAACACAGGAGTCAAAAAATACAAAAAGGTAAACACGAACAACCATAAGGAACCAAACAAGGATAAACTGTTTACATTCTAACCCAGGGGGATGTTACATACGTCCCCTCAGAGTCCTATCATCATCTGGGGGCATAGAGGGAGTCTAATTAGACAGAGGGCCTGGGAGGGGTTTTCTTGTGTCTTGATGATCTTAAAAGAATGGAAAGGGAGGGGAAGAATACACTTGGAGGGAAAGGAAAGTGAGGGAAAATGATCTCACACACAATCAAGGTGTGCAAGTAGCACTCTATACAAACAAGAAGGAAAGGGGTAGGGGGAGCCAGCGATGCCTAAACCTCACTTTTATCTGAGCCAGTTAAAGGAGAGGAACATATACAATGCATATGAAGGGAGAAGGGAAAATAAGAGGAAAGGTAATTAAGAGAGGCATTAGTCCTAAGCAAAACAAACTCTAACCAGAGATATACAAAAACATTTATAGGAGCTCTTTTTGCAGTGACAAAGAACTAGAAACTGAGGGTTGGTGCTCATTAATTCGGAGAATGCATGAACATATCATGGTATATGAATGTGGTAAAATATTACTGTGCTTTAAGAAAAGATGGAGATGGTTTCAAAGAAACCTGGGAAGACTTGTACGAATTAAAGATGAAAAGTGAAGTGAGCAGAACCAGAAGAACAGTGTATATAATGACAACAATATTGTAAGAAACAACCAGCTTCAAAGACTAAGGAACTCTGATCAATGGACCAATGATCAGATTCCAGAGAAGTCATGATGAAACTTACTCCTCACATCCAAACATAGAGGTAAGGAACCCAGAATGCTGAATGAGGCATATTTTTTTGGACACGGCCAATGCAGAAATTCGTTTCGCTTGACAACACGTGTTTGTAAACAGGAGTTTTATTTTTCTTTCTTTCTCAACTGGGAGGAAAGGGAGGTGGGAATGAAGGCAGATTTTTGCTGACTGAAAAAATGTACATACTTTTTAAAGACATAGAAGTATTCAGAAGAAGAAAAAGAGGGTCAGGAAGAGTGAATCAGTTGCCCAGGATCACACAAATAGTACAGAGAGGACTTGAACCCAAGTCTTCTCAGTTCCAAGTCAAGCCATCAATAAACATTTATTAAATATCTACAGTGTGCCCAGCACTCCCCTAGGCACTGGGGATACAAAAAAGAGGTAAAAGACAGACCCTGCTCTTGAGGAGATTGCAAGCACAGCACCCCACCTCCCTCTTTCTCTCACTGAACCAATGACGATGTCCTGCAATTTTGTACTTATCACATTCTAATTTGTATTTTTTTAAAAATCTGTTGTAAGATCTAAGATAGAGATTCTCTCTCACTCAAGCTAAGGTGGCACAGTGGCTGAAGTGTTAGACCCAGAGTCATGAAGACCTGAGTTCAAATCCGGCCTCAGGCACTTACTAGCTGTGTGACCCTAGACAGGTCACTTAACTTCTGCCTGCCTCTGTTTTTCATCTGTAAAATGGGGACAATAATAGTATTTACCTCCCAGGGTGTAGTGAGGATCAAATGAGAGGTTCGTGCTAGCTATCATTAGTACTGTTATTATTGTCCTAGTTTCCACTCTCCTCTTTCAACCAATGGACCACACATACCTGGCCCCAACCAGTAATGCCTCAATTTGTGCCCTGCACATAACATATGTGCTCCTAAAATGGCAGGGAACAGTTTATTTTTGTCTTTGTAATACTCAGCACCTAATACAGTGCCTGGCATACAACAGGTACTTAATAAATGCTTGTTGAATGACAGACAGTGAACACTTAAGAGACATTTCTTGAATAAATGAATGAAGTGACCCAGCCCCTACCCCCCCAAGATTAGAAGCATCACGTCTCTTACCCAAAATATCCATCCACTCTTCCTGGAGGGGGCTTGAAGGCCCCGTCTCTTCAGATGTTGTAGGCTGAGGCTCTGTGGGTCCCTCATTTTGGGCTGTTCCCAGATCCTCCAAGGGGGGCAGCTCACTCAGGTCATCATCATCACCCTCCTCTTCCTCTTCAGTTCCATCTAGGACCTCAAAATCCTCACCCGAATCCAGCTGGGCAGCCCCGGAAGGTGATGGAGAAATAGGGCCTGAGTCTGCAGTGGGGGTCGCAGCTTTAGACGCCATGATTCTTGAAAGATGCTGCTGGTGAGGGACAGGTTTAGAGAGAGAGGGAAGGGTAGCCCAGGGTCAATAAAAGAATACAAAACAGCTTAGGTGGAGAGGTAACCAAGTACAAATCCTCCCACCAAGGCTGTCTCTATCCTTGCATCTTCCCTGGCTGGGACAAGGGGTACTGCAGTGCAGTCAAGTTTCTGAGAGTAAGGGCTGAAGGGGCTTTAGAACACAGTATCAGAGTTGGGAAGAACCTTAGAGGAGGCAGACTGTGTCCACTGTACAGAGCTGGGTAGGAAGCCCAGCTCTGCCATCTGACCCTGGGCAGGTCTTCCTCTACCTCCCTGAGACTCAGTTTCCTCACCTGTAAAAATGAAGGAACTGGATTAGATGGTCCCTAAAGTTCAGCTCTACCCTTCAGTGACCACCAAATCCCTTATATTTTGCAGATTAAAAAAAAGTGAGGTAGAAAGATGGAGAGAAGAATCTGTCCAAAGGCAAAGAGTTGGCCAGTCTGAGGCTGAGCTGGGAACAGACCCCAACAGTCCTGACGCTCCCTGGAGGGCTCTTTCCATTAGGCCATCCTACCCACCCAAGATTGATCACCTTCTCCAGCCCCTATCCTCATGATCGGGGGGAGGGGTTAAGAAGAAAGGCTGCTTGGGGTCTGGCAAGAGATAGAGTTGGGGGCAGGATATGGCCTTCAGGGTGCGTGCTGGACAGCATCTGACAGGTCAAACATTTACCGGATGAGACGACCTCTGCCACTATCTCTGCTGTGGGGATGCGGTATAGAGGTGGGGGGGCGGGACGGAGGACACGAAGAAGCCCCTAAGCCTTCCCTTCAACTGAGAGGCCGGAGGTCAGACCCCTGCTCTATGGAATGGGATGGTGATCACTGAGCTAGTGTGGGGCGAGGGTCTGGGGGCCTGAGGTCCAGCCCCAGCTCTGCCATTGACAACCAACCCGAAAATGACCTTGGTCCCACTCTGGGTCTCAGTCTCCTCCTCTGTGAAATGGGGGTTGGACGAGATGACTCCCGCGGTCCCTCCCCTCCCTAAATCTACGATCCCGTCCAGGGCGATGGACATGCCCACGCCCCCACCCCGACCCACCCGAAGAGGCCATTCCCGCCCCCACCCCCAGCCCCTAGGACCCCCTACAGCCCACCCTGGGCTGGATGGGCAGGGCCAGGACGCCTGGGTCCCTGGGGTAAATGCAGGCCTCCCCACCCCGCGAGGCCAAGGGTGAGCCCAACGGCGGGGCCGGGGTTTCCCCCGGGGGTCCTCCGTCCCCATCCCGGTTCCCAGGCCGCGTCTCCAACCCCCGTCCCGCTTCGGGCTCGAGCAGCCACCCCGCTCCGGCCTCCCCCGCCAGCCCGGGCCCCGGGAGTTACCGAGGTCCCAGCCTGGCTCCCCCGGGGACACGTGGCACCAGCTCGGGACCCCCAGGGCCCTGCGGACCCCCCACCACCCAGCAGCAGCAGCAGCCGCTGCCGGGCCTCGGGAATCAGCTGCTCTAGGCCCGCCCTCCTAGGTGCTCATTGGCTGAGCCTGCCAGGAAGGCTTCCCGGATTGGTTGGCGCGGGTATCGCTCTAGGAGCGAGGACCCGCCTCCTTCCTGCCTTGGTTTCCAAGGTTTTTCAAGCTCTTAAAGGGCCCGAGGCGAAATGCGCGGGTGCGGAGGTCACGTCCAAGGCCAGGGCCTGGAGGGCGGGGCCAGGATTCATCCGGAGCTGAGCTGGAGTCAACTCCCACAGGCTCAGAGAGCCGGCAGTTAAATAAATATACCGCGAAGGCGTTCACATCTCGGAAATGGGCAAACGCAGCAAGCCAGCTCTTGACTTATGGTTATGTTAACTACCTGGCTTCTAGAAAGTGATGGAGAACATGTTAATAACTCAAACTTAAGGGTGTCCTGCAATTCCTCCCCTCTACACACACCCCCTCACCCCACCTTACCCCCACCCCACCCCGGCAGAGCGCTTTGTTAAACATTTACCTGCGTATCCCTGACCGTGTGTGAACCTCTTGGAGCGGTGTGGCTCCAGGTAGTTAGCAAAAGTGATTTCTGAATCCTTGGACGAAAAGCTGTGCCGGATTTTGACGCCCCACCCTCTCTGTGCCTTAGTTTCCCCATCTGCAAAACTCCGCTGACAAGGACCTAACCACATGAAATCATATGTGTATATATGAAATTTCATGTAATATGTATTCTATAATTTCATTTCACATATCTAATGAAATATATGATAAATGCATGAAATATACACATAAATGCATTACATATATACACATGAACGTATGAAACATATGAACATATTTGAAATCTATCCAGATCACTTTTTGTTTTAAATGAAATTGGCAGATTACTCTATAGCAACACTTAAGAATAAGTGGAATGGAAATAGCTTAACCTTCTGGGGCCACCACTCTTCCTAGTCCCTTCCCCCACTTCCACTTGCCCAGGGAGTAAAGATTATGCATTTAGAGGCAGAAAGGACTTTAGACTCCATGTAATCTAACCTCCTCCTTTTACAGCCCTAGAGGAATGAAGTGAATTAATCAAATGCACTTATGTAACCAAGTTATCTATGTTTGTGCATCATGAGGTCAAGGACCGCTTCTCTGTTTTTCTTTTTCCTCTAGTAAAAATGTTTATTTATACTTTTTAAAAATATCAGAATCATTTCCCAACATGCTACACCTGTGCCCCACCCCTACTCCCAGCCTCCTCCTTTGTAAGCAAGAGAATTTTGAGCAAAACCCAGCTGACAAGGACACACAACATTCCTCTCCTCTTGACCTAGAGACAAAAGCATGTTTCCTCCTCTTTTCTCTGGGACCAAGAGTTTTGATCAGCCCATGGGATAGAAGATATTAAGGAAGAAGATGAAGGTGAGAACTTGGTTGAAAATGAATGGTTTTTAGCAGAACCATATTGAAAAAGAAGAAATTATTAAAAAAAAAAAAAGGCAAGGAGAAGCTAGGTGGCACTAAGGATAGAGCACTGGCCCAGGAGTCAGGAGGACCTGAGTTCAAATGTGACCTCAGACATTTGCTAGCTGTGTGACCCTGGGCAAATCACTTAACCCTAATTCCCTCAAAAAAAAAAAAAGTAACAAGATAACAATTTTTGTTTGATTTCATCATGTTACTGGAAGGAATGCTCTCTGATGAGCCATTATTTTGCAATTTAGAGTCTTAGAGTTACCTACAACTCTTTCTTTTTTAATTTTTTTGTTAACAAGAGAATGACTCTCTGAGTAAGGGAAAGAGGGGCAGCTAGGTGGTTCAGGGAGTAGAGCTCTGGACGTGGAGTCAGGAAGACCTGAGTTCAAATTCAGCCTCAGACCCCAATTAGCTGTTTGACCCTGAGCAAGTAACTGCTATGTGCCTCAGTTTCCTAATCTGTAAAATGTGTTGGAGAAGAAATGGCAAACCACTCCAGCATCTTTGACAAGATTTGGAAACCATGGCCAGGAGAGGTAAATGAGTTGCCAAAAGTCGCACAGGTAGCAGAGCCATGATTTAAACACAGTCTCTCTGACTCCAGAACTGTTGCTTTTACAAGCACAGGATTTTAGACTTGGAAAGGACCTCAGGACCAAGCCATGCTCCAAAGGAATACTCAATAATCAATCAATAAACATTTTTTTTTTATGATTGGCCATGCACATTTAATATTTTATTTTTCCCCAATTACATGTGAAAACAATTTTAATATTCTTTTTTTTTTTCAAATTTTGAGTTCCAAATTCTCTCCCTCCCTTGTCCTTTCCCCCTCATTGAGAAGGCAAGCAATTTGACGTAGGTTATACATGTGTAGTCATGCAAAACACATTTCCATGTAAGTCATTCTGTGAAAGAAAACACAGACAAGAAAAATGAAGTAAAGAAAAAGGATGTTTCAATCTGCATTCAGACTCCACTGGTTCTTTCTCTGGAGATGGACAGCACCTTTCAGTATAAGTCTTTCAGAATTGTCTGAGATCATTGCAATAAACATTTATTAAGCACCTACTACATGCCAGGCACTGTGCTAAAAGCTGTGGATACAAAAAGAGGCCAAAGTCCTTGCCCTCAAGGATCTCACAATCTAATAGGGGAAACAACAAACAAATATATACAAACAAGCCATATATAGGATAAATGGAAATAATTAAGAGAGGGAAGGCACTAGAATTAAGAGAGGTTATATAACACATATATAAGCTGTGGTCTTCTAGTCTCTGATCAAAGACCTCCAAGGAAAGGAATCACACCACATCCCCAGACAAATCATTCTACTTCCGGACAGCTCTTCTGTAAAGTTTTTTCTCTCATCAAGACTGAATCTGCCTCTTTCCAACCTCTGACTCATTGCTCCTGATTCTGCTGTCTGGCGGGCAAACAGAAAAACTTAATTCCTCCAGGATGAAAGATCTCTTTGTCCTCAGGTTTCTCCTAGAGGCCTGGACTTGCCCCTCTCACATTCTGCTTTGGATCTTTGATGACTGTATATGCTATGGTCCACAGTCCTTCCCCACCCCACCCCACTAGGTTATAAGCTCCTTGAGGGTAGAAGGACTTGTGTTATTTTTCACCTTTGTCTCTCCTAAAAACATGCCTGGCCTATTCTATTTTTGGTCTAGCCAAGGGTGGGGAACCTTCCGCCTCCAGGTACCTCTTTCCATTGGATATGGGGACAAGGTAGAATGGGATTAGAGAACAACTCAGATGAACCCAGTTGACTTTTCTCTCTACCTCCTTTACACCTTCTTTCCAGAATCCCCAAACTGAGCACTAGGGAGGTCTGGGAATCCCTAGACCACAGCTTCTTCCCCCAAGTGTGAGTCTGCAAAGTTGGTTCTCCTGAGCACCATCTGATTAGATCCTTCCTTTGCCTGGTATCCACCCCAAGTGGAGAGCTGGGATCACTGAATGGCTCCCAGCTTGCTTTGAATATCGAGTCCAAATTCCTTAAATAGCAAGGTCTTTAAGATTCTCAAGCACCCAGGACCACCCTCCCTTTATAACCTTACTGTGGTACTCCACGCTCCAACCCAACTAGAGCCATTACTCCTGTGTGGTGTCATGGAAAAGAACATATAGGATATATTGGGATATATTGGATATAGAAACTTGACTTGGTTTTGAATCTCTGCTCTGCTCCTTGCTAGCCCTGTGAAGTTTCCCAAATCATTTCTAGTTCCTGGGACTCAGTTTTCTCATTTGTAAAATGAGTGAATTGAACTTTCTTGTTTCTATGGTCCTTTCTACCATTGAATCCTAATGTCCTATGACCATGCACAATTTCTGTCACAGATCAATCTCTCCTAATATCTGCAATGTTCCCTTACACCCAAAGAATCCTTCTCTCTGTGGTCACCTACCCTTCAAGGCCCTTTCCCCTTAGATATCAAATGCTGCTTGGTTATGTTAGAGGTAGTTTATGGTGCAGTAGATAGAGCACTGGAGAAAGGGAGACCTGGATTCATATCTGGTCTCAGACACTTCCTAGCTGTGTGATCCAAGGCAAGTCACCCAACTTCTGTTTGCCTCAGTTTCCTCAAATGTAAAATGGGGATAATAATAGCATCTACCTCCTAAGGTAGATTTTGAGGACCAAATGAGATAATAATAGTTGTTATTGTTGTGGAAAAAAAAAATCACTTAGCACAATGCTGGCATATAATAGGCTCTATAGAAATGCTTTGTCCCATGGGGCAGTTAGGCAGCCCAGTGGATAGAGCACAGGCCCTGGATTCAGGAGGACCTGAGTTCAAATCCAGCCTCAGACACATAACATTTAACTAGCTGTGTGACCCTGGGCAAGTCACTTAACCCCATTGCCTAGCCAAAAAAAATGCTTTGTCCCCCCATGCCTCCCCCTTATTTAACACTGATGATAAAATGATAGCTGACATTGTATTATATTATATAGATACATATATATATATAATGTCAGCTATCATATATATATATAATATGAGGCTTACAAAGAGCTATATATATGTAGGATGTTTACTCTAATACACTTATGCATGCCTTGGTATTACCCTTTCTTTTATTACATTGTGAGAGAAGACTGGCCTTTGAGGGCACAGATGCAACATAACATTCCTTGATTCCAACCCAGTGTTGAGGCTCTTAGTAAGCTCTCTTCTGGAACATTCATCCTTCAGAGCATGTGCAAATATTCTCCAACTGTTTTCTGTCAGCTTATTGTATGATGAGAAGCCTTTTAATTGACTACTGAGTCACAACCAAGTGTCTGTAGAGAAGTCATACACAGATGGAATCTCTTTCTCTCCCTGGTGGCTTTTAAGGGAGGAAGAGAAATTGCCAGTTGCCACATGGCTATGAACACACCGTGCTGCTGCTATTTCTTCTGTCATCTGATAGAAGTGTCTTGAGGGTAGGGACTGTTTCACTTTTTCATATTTGTATTTCCATCACCTGGCACAGCACCGGGCATGTAAGTTGTTGTTCATCCTTTGTTTTTGATGTCCTGACTCATGTGAATT